AAAATTTTATAATTAGATATAAAATAGATTTTGAGATCATCTTAAAAACATTTTACGTCGAAATTATATACCATGATAAAATTTAAAGGTGCACCTTACCTCTACAGTTACGCATGCATCTGTATGCCAACTACACCCTATGAATAATTCTTATACAAGCAATGACCAATGCTACGGTTGTATCGTAGTATAATGCAAAGACACTTATAGAAAACTATGTTTGTAGTATTTACATGACCTCAAATTTTGGTCTAACATTAAAGCTCATTTAGGTTTAGTGTACTCTCACGGACGCACATTATATACTTGCTCTATTTGGGCAACAAATTTACTCAACGACTTTTTAGATTTAAAATATTTAGATCCACTTGAATGACGCGTACTATTAAAACAAACAAAATGAGTTACTAATCAGTTAGATCCATTGTTTTAACAATGGACAATCAATCTTAGCACATTATTTTCCTTTCTTTTTCTTGTTTTTTTAAGTGTTGTTTTTTTTTTGGTAATTCAGTGAGGATGACGAGCCTCTACTCTTTTTTCTAAATCGTTAGTGGTTTTTGAATACGCTAGGTGATAATGGAAGCCAAAACCTAAACTAGGGCACAAGTAGGGTTACTACCACAACCCCAACCCTATTTTTGTTTTTTTAAGTATTGTTGCATGTATAAGAGGTTACATCCATAAATTTTGGAGTTCTATAGGATCGCTCACCCATCGATTCTAATTTGGATCGGTGGTCTGTATTTTGTCGAATCAACCATCTAACCAAAGAAAAAAAAAAGAGGAAAAAACAACGAAAATTTATATTACATACAAATTTTCACTTTCCAAAGGAGTAGGGGTTTGATTCCTCCAATTGCATTTATTTTTTCTTTTTGTTAAATCTTGTGTGCTTGTAGCCCTAAACAAGGATTAGAACATGTTTAAAACAGAATTGGAAGATTAGGTCGGACAAGAATTTGATTGGTCACACCCATAAAACTGGAAATAAACCAGTTTGATCGTTAGTTTTAGCAATTCTCATTGGCGATATGGGTGGTGGAAGTAGTCACTCAAATGCTTAATTATCAAGTTGTGGTTTCCAATCCAACTAACATCATTATTGACACTTTACAAAAATTCAGCACCTTCATTTATAGAGAAAAATAGGTAGGGCCCTACTCAATTATCCAAAAAAAACCTTAGCAATGTTTTGCTCTAAATCTCTTGCCAAACTTTGACTAGAGTTTTTTTTTCATATATCTTTTTTATTTTGATTACGTGAAACCTTTTATAACCAAAAAAAAATTGTACCAAAAAATCATGGTTCTAAAGAGACAACTTTACTTTGTCAGAAAAGCCAAAATTTTCGAACTTCTTTGCAATTTTTTTTTATCACTTTTCTATATATTTACGCGTGGTTTTCTTCCATCATAGAGTTTTATTTTTTTTACCAATATTAAACTTCCTCCACAAACGATAGATACTTTTGTGTTTGGACACAGTTTTTATGCAGCCAAGCCCAGGCATATTAATAAATCTATGTTTTGGATTGATTTTTGGACTTAATTTTTAAAGGCATATAATCTCAATATTGAGATCATGAATATGAAAAAACAAATAAATTTTGAAAACTAAAAACAAAAATTCTTATAAAAAAACATTTGGACCCTTAATTTCCGGTGTTTTTAAATGAAACACCTGCTTGCATCCATTTTAAAGTGTATGCTTTACACTTTTTACACCACATATGTAAACATGCGGTCCGGCCGCTACAAAATAATTTATCCTTGTGTTTACACTTTTTGGACCACATATGTTGTCATCCCATATCACATGCCATTGGGTTTTTGCTTTTGAGCTAGCATAGCATACCCCGTAGGAGTGTACTGCACATTAACTCCCTCGATCAAAAGAGTTACTTTGGATTTTTTTAATTTAAATTTTTGGATCCAACTAAGAATTACTAGCAATTATCTTGAAACAAAAAAAAAACGGAAAAATGGGTATTAAGTTCGTTAACACTTAGAATTAAATTATCTTCAAACTAAAATAAAAGAAAATTAAATATTGAGTACTTAACACTCAGATCTTGCTCTGCGAAAGTTAGACATTATTTTGGGATGCTATGTTTTCCAAGGAGATGGAA